TCCACACCCATAAAACGTACATCAAGAGTAAAATGGGGCCTCCTCTGGTAGTGCACAGGTTGAGCGCTGGGCTGCGAAGCTGCCCACAGCCTCTGCAGTGCTGGTTCAATCCCCGGATGCCAGAGTGGGTCTCACATGGCGCGCAGACCGCTCCTGCTGCACTCGCTGCTCCCCTCAGCAGTGTATTTCATCTGTCTGTCTGTTCTGCTCTCCACTCTGGCTCTGGTGAATTCTCTCACCCTCCCGCACTTCTGACTGTACCCAGTGCTTGTATAAATAAATAAATAAATCTTAAAAAAAAAAAAAGAGTGAACTGTAATGTAAACTATGGTCTTTGGGGATTACGTGTCATTTTTACAGAAATAATAATGCTTTATAAACTGGGCAGACCTCCTATTATCTAATTTTTCTATTGAGACTAGTCATATAGTATAAAATTCACTTCTTTAAAGTGTCCAATAGTTTTTAGCACATTCTCAAGGTTATACAACTTTTACCATTATCTAATACCAGAATATTTCATCACCCCCTTAAAAAAAAATACCCATATATCCATTAGCATTTGCACACCCATTCCCTCCTGCCTCCAACTCTTGGCAACTACTAATCTTCATCCTGTCTCTATAGATTTGCCTGTTTCAGACCTTTTGAATCTGGCTTCTTTCACTTAGCATAATGTTTTCAAGATACACCCACGCTGTAGCACGTGTCAGTACTTCATTCCTTTTTATGGCTGAGTAATATTCCATCATATCCATAACTCACCTTTTATTTATACATGGGCATTTGGGGTGTTTACATTTTTTGGTTATTATGAATAATGTTCTGTGAACACATCTGTACAAGTTTTTGTATGAACATATATTTTTAATTTTCTTGACTCTAGACCTAGCAATGGAGGTGCTGTGTCTCATAATAACTCTATATTCAACTTTTTAAGGGCCTACTGAATCTACCATCTGATTTTGAAGATCTAAGTCAAGAGAGAAACCTAAATCTGCCTAGATTCAGGGATATAAGCATAAAACAAGCCCCAAGAGAACAAATCCCAAGTGTCCAGCAACTCCTAAGTAATTTTGAGTCTATCTGTTCCTCAACACACACACACACACGCACACACACACACACACACACACACAATCTGGTTTACACTCAAATTTTCTCAGTAAATTTTGTTTTCTCTCCCAAGGAGACCCATCATGATCCCAGGGAGTTTCTGCTCTAATAATACAGACGAGAGACCCTTAGGAAATACAACAACAAAAAAAATGAGTAAGTTACATTTATGCCAAAGCTGTTGAGAGGTCACCTCTCAGAAGACACACAGTAGAACCATGTGGGCTCTGCCTGAAACAAGGATGACGCCCCAATATTGCTTCACAGAGAACACAAACACATGCAGCTTATTGAGTCGTCACAGTTATGCTAGGGGTAGATTTCAACACAGACCTTTTTCTCAGCCATGTTTCCAGAATGGCAGCTATAATGTGACTCCAAGGAACAAGAACATCCCGTCGTCCACTTGGGAGAGAAGGGCAAGTGGTCTCGCTCACTGGACACCAGGGCCAGGCTGAGAGTGGGCATTCTGTGGCCAGGCGCCAGGGAACATGCCTCAGTATAACCCAAAAGAGACCAGTTTCTGAAAAGAACTCAGTGTCTGCAGAGTGAGTTCCTTCCCCTTTCTTGTTCCTGGAGCAGGCAGCTCAGGGCAGACGGGAGAATTCAGGTGTCATCTTCCTTTGGGAAAACCTAGGCAAAGCAACTTGTACTTCCTCTTGGAAGCCAGTCTGTGGTTTCCTTAACGCCCCCATGATTTGCTCACTGCCTGTGCCCGGATCCTGGCTTCATTTCACCATCACACAAACACTAGGCTGGCCCTGGAGCACACTGCCCTGCCCAACTCGATCACTTCACTAGTGGGGAGTCTAAACAAACAAGGGCTGGCCTGGAAGGGCCTGTTTCTTCCTACAGTGGAGCCCCTCCTGATGTGGGGTTACACACAGTGCTCCTTGGAGGGCTCCTCTTTAGGTGCTGGGGTGAGAGTGCACCAAGCCTGTACACTCATGCAAGAACACACACAACGCAGAGCAGGTATATGCTTTCCATATTTATATAGTCTTCATCTTGGTCTTAAACACAAAGGCAAAGAACCCAGAGGCCTGGAAGCCCCTTCCCAATCTTTGTCTGACCTTCTGCCCTGTGCAGTTCATCCCTCAGGATGATCAGCTCCAGTGCTGCTCCCAGCATCCCCACCCTCATCGCAAATCCAAGGGGCCAAGGAACTCTTGCTGGAGGGGAAGGTGGGGCGTGTTTAGCGGGTCATGCTGGAGGGGAAGTGTCCAGTGTCACTCACTAAAAGCAGCTCGTGGTGGATTCAGGCGTTCTGGTCTTCACCCCAGGCCCTTGGCCTCTGTCCCCGCGGCACCTAGGGCGTCCCTCTAGGGCACCCCGGAACCTATGGACTCTCAGGGAGCGCCAGGCATTTCCTTCCTAGAGAGAGGCTGAAGCTTTCCTCCTGCCTCAGCTTCAGTCAGGTCCGCGCCGGCTTCCACGCAGTGGGGACCCGTGGAGCCATCCCAGGACAGGAGCTTAGGGGTAGGGCAAGAGGCGCCCATCTTATTTGGGGCGATTTATGAGCGGCGAGCGGGGGACAGCCGGGGAGAAGGGGCGAGTTTACGCTGCACTCGCCGGGAGTAAACCTGCCTGTTGATTTGGGGTGCCTGGAGTACCGAGCCTGAGTCCCGCAGCCTAGAGACCGCCCTCTTCTCCCAAGGCCGTGACCCCAGCTCACCGACCTGCGACCGCGTCCGGAGTGTTTTCCTGGCCCGGATGTAGGTCTCCGAGAGGCTCCCTCCCCGGGGCCTCCGCACCGCCCCGCTGCCTCCCGCGGTGGCTCTCGAGCTGGCGGGGCTCGGTCGGCCACCGGCTCGGAGGACCCTCCCGGGGGCGGGGCTCAGCGAGAGCCCGCCCCTCCCCGCCCCTTGGCCGCGCCCCGCCCCGTGGCCGCGCCCCGCCCTGCGCGCTCCCGCGCCTGGGTCCCAAGCCAACTAACTGCCCCAACTATGATGCAGGTGAATGCGAAGCCGATGCTGCCCCGCGGCCCCCGATCCCCGCACCGTGGCCCGGCGCGAGCCCCTCGGAGTCCGAAACCACCTCCGAGTTCGGACTCGCAGTCCCACCGGATCCGCCAGACGCCTTTAAAGCCGCCCGGCCTTGCAGCGCGCGCTCCTGAGCTGTAGCTGCCAGGAGGACCTTGCACGGATTGCCAACCTCCTGCCTTGAGGCATACAGATAAATCCACAAACCCAGTACAGGACCTCTGTATTCCTGGCACTGTTCTGGGTTCTGGGGAACAAAATGGGGCACAAAAATTGGCTTGGTTTCTGTTTTCACTGAAGTAATTGATAGTCTGGGGAAAGCCATAGTAACAACAAAAAGCATTTTCTCACTAATTGCATTTGAAAGATTGAGGGCAAAGGAAGGATTTGCAAAGGTCTCTCTCCAAGAATGAGTAGAGAAAAAGCTATTATTCCAAGAGGTAGGACAAACCGTTGGGAGCAGGACATTGCTGAGGTGGCCAACGACAGCATGGCCCAGCCTAATCAAGATGATACAGAACTGCAGGCCCTGGTGACATCTGCCTGCTATCCCTAGGGCAATGGATGCCACCGCAGGGTTTTAAGTAGAAAAGTGACAGGTCTGAAGTATACTTGTAGGTGAAAAGAATGGGGAAGAAGGAGGGCTGCCTGAAATTGGAGAAACTATCAATAGTTAGGAGGGGAGGCCAAGTAGAAAAAGAGGAGCTTGGACTAGAATCTATAAGGAAACGGACTGATTGATGCAAGCTACAACCTAGAGGGAGGATCAAGTAAAGCTGGCGACAGGTCAAGTATCCCCATCTATGTAATGTGAATAGTGACACCTACCCTAAGAGTGGTGGCAATGATTCAGTGAGCTCATTTATGTGAAAATCATTTATGTGGTGCGTGGCACATGGCTGCCGTGTACCAGGCACCGCTGAGTGCTCAGAGCCACTTATTGTAGCTGTTTCAACTTGCCCAAAGCTGCATGGCACAATGGCAGCTTCCTCCTCCCAGTCCAATGCTGGTGTGAAGATTCTGAGAAAGAGGAGGGCAACAACCACCTCTGGCCGGTTTTTTGGACACAGACCTCACTTTGCTGGACTTCAGGTCCCCAGTCTATGACATCGACCAGAGCACCTGGTTCTCCCAAATCATCGATATTTTGGCTTAATTTTTTAAATTAAGATATAAATCTGTAAAACTGACTTTTAAAATGTATAGTTCAGGGCCTCCCCGGTGGCGCAGCGGTTGAGCGCTGGGTTGCGAAGCTGCGCGCGGCCTCTGCGCGGAAAGGAAAGGAAAGGAAAGGAAAGAGGAGGGGAGGGGAGGGGAGGGGAGGGGGGGAGGGGAGGGGAGGGGAGGGGAGGGGAGGGGAGGGGAGGGGAAGGGAAGGGAAGGGAAGGGAAGGGAAGGGAAGGGAAGGGAGGGAAGGAAAGGAAAGGAAAGGAAAGGAAAGGAAAGGAAAGGAAAGGAAAGGAAAGGAAAGGAAAGGAAAGGAAAGGAAAGGAAAGGAAAGGAAAGGAAAGGAAAGGAAAGGAAAGGAAAGGAAAGGAAAGGAAAGGAAAGGAAAGGAAAGGAAAGGAAACATGCCTCTATAAAAAAAAAATAAAAAAAAAATAAAATGTATAGTTCAGTGGTGTTAAGGTCATGTAGCCATACCATTATCTAACCCCAGGATGTTTTCATCACTTTGAAAGGAAACTCCATACCCATTGGCTGTTACTCTCCTGCCCTTCCTCCACTCTTGCCCTTCCTCCCTGTGGTTTGGGGCGGTCCCTTACAGAGGGGCCCCACCAGCTGGAGAGGAGCCACCAAAAGGGCCAGCAGTGTGACTCATTTCTGGTGAGACAATCCTCCCCGTCCATACAAAAATGACAGCTAATATTTATTGAACACAAACTAAGTGCTTTGAATACTTTCTCAAATTTACTTTTCCCGTGGATGTTTGAGGTAAGTTTTCTTTCTGTCCACTTCACAGGTGAGGCAACTGAGGCTCATAAACTAAGAACTTGGGCAACATCATGCAGCTAGAGAAGCAAAGGAACTGGGCCTTGGAAATCCCTCAACCAGGCATCATCCCTAAGGGAGCCAGAGGTCACTGAGCAGCCAAAGCAGAGTCTCATCTGAGTCAAGCAAGTATTGGAAATTTACTGGGCCCTGTGGGAGCCGTAGAGGTAAATAGAGAGGGTGAGAGCCTTCCCAGGGCAGAGAGACAGCCCTGTGGCTGGGCAAAGTGAGGAAGGTGGATAGAGGGCCCCACTGGACAGGGTGCAAGGGAAGGACTCTGAGAAACTCAGCACCAGCTGGAAGCTGGGAAGGGGAGAGATGTGCTGTGGGTACACACCAGGCTTGGCATGACCCACAGAGCTGGTGTGGCTCATCTCCTAGGACCCGCCCCAAACCACAAAGATCAGGAAGGTGCTTGTCACTCCTCACCTTCTTAGCAACCAACTTAGCAATTGTCCCAGACAGTTCACCCCACCTTACTCCCCATCTCCATGCCACAGTGCCCATAACTTTGGAGCTGAAAATCAGGGCTCCTTGCTTAACAAAGGACTTTTGTCTTTGAACTTTCAGGTGCCTGAATAGTAGTAAGGTGTGGTTTGGATGCCGAAACATTGGCAGTTTGAGGGAACTGTGCCTCTGCTTGTTATTTCTCAGCCCCTTGCAGTGCCGCTGAGTCTTAAACACCGATGGCCCCCAAACCTTCCTGTTCCTGCTCCCATAGCTTCAACCAACAGCAACTAGTTCACCTGTAGTCCAGACCACGTGAAGATCCTCTCCCAGCCTAATGAATGTGCCGTGACTACAGCTCCATGAAGAGCCAGCCCCAGATGATATGAAGAGATTCAAGGGTCAGAGAGGCCTGGATAGCCAAATGCAAACTGCATTTCTGAGGAAGGAGAGACTTGGGTACAAAGGAGGCCAGAGAGAGTGGCCAAAGCAAAGAGGGATGCCCAGTCATCTCTCATACCTAGAGGCTCCCAGAACTTCCTCAGGTCAAGGTGTTTTCTGGTTCTCACCTAGAAGGGCCCCAACTAAACCCTACCTTTATTTAGGCAATATGGTTCTTTGTTCCGTTCACCAAAAAACAGGCTCAAACGATGCCCAGCTTGGCAGAGCCAGCTCTCTACAAAGATCATTTCCCCTTCCATGCTGCAGGAGTCTGTCCTGCTGACAAGCACCTGCCCAGCTAGGGAGGACCCTGCCCATCCTCTCCTGCTCTTGCTTCTGGGTGGGGCAAAATTCTCACAGAAGCACAGTGAGCAACAGTGGTATGTGTCACTTAAGACACAAGAGTGACTTCTGTTCCTCTTCCTAATCAAGTAAAATCAATCACCATACAGATCTATATGGAGCATCCTGCTAGGGATTAGAAGATTGGTTCCATTCAGGAGATAGAGCAAACAAGTAAAGATAATGAGCATAATGGAGCTATGTTTCTCATGGACAGGAAGGAGGTACAAATAGGAAAAAGGAGAAACTATAATGAACCCTACAGAGTTGAATTCAAATTGCAACTATCAGCATTAACTTGTGGCTTATGATACAAAGATAAAAACAAATACAGATGAAAGTTTTGTCTTACCAGAGGGCCTAGAAGCAGCAACACTGAATATAGACAGCACACTTACAACCTAGATCTTGGCTTCTAAATAAAAAGACCCTTGGAGAAACAATTGACTTCAGGGAAAGCACAAAGTAAGCCTAGAACATTTTGAAGGAAGTACTCAAAGAATGATAGGGAGATGCCAAAAGAACAGAGAAGCTAAGCTGGAAGCCATGCTCATTGGCCAATACAGGAAAATTTGAACAGCAAAATGAATATGACAACAATGGATTATTATCTGTAGAATAAATATGAATCCCTAAGTCCACATGGACAGAACTACAGATGGAAAGACTGAAAAGCTCTTATAATAAATGCTGACAAATAAATGTAGGAGAAATAATGAAAATATAAAATTAGCACTTGGCAACAACTGTAGTTATTCAGACCCAACCTATCAATGGATAATAAGCACAAAAGGTGAAAGCAGATAAGGAACGGTATATATTTACACGGTTTCAAAGTATTGCCACAAAATACTTAAATACAAAGAAAACGTTGTATTTAACTTCATAGTAGACAAGCCTGGCAGGCACCATCTGACTCAAATGGGTGTTCTCAGTTGTTGGGCCAGATAAACATTATATGCCACCAATAGGACAGACACAATGATAAGATGCATCACGTTTGTGATACCACAGCCAAAGACACAGAGCATGAACCTACTCACAGGAAGGCAGACCCAAGCTAGACACAGTCATGGCACATGGGTGCAGATTAGATTTTTTGGTTACAAAGGACATCATTGGGGCATTTGGCAAAGTAGATGGGTGAGAGGTGTATGGGGATTCTTGAAATTTTTCTCTAAGTTTGAAATTGTTTCAAAATAAAATCATTTAACAAAAGAAACAGGGATATCTTCTCTCTTTCCCCTGTACACCAGTCAAGTTACAGAGGACCTGGCAGAGAGGACTTTGTGACCCCAGACCTGATGACAGAGCCACAAGAGGGAAGGAGCCAGGGTCCCTCAATCTCTACTGCCCAAGAGCCACCTCCCCATCCCAGTTAGATACACGACTTTGGACTCTCCATGAGCAATATTCTTCTGTTGTCTTAAACCACTGAGATTGAGTGTGATGGGCAGAGGCTGTCTTTTTTACTGCATTATCCTAACTCAGCCTAATACAGCTTGCTGTATTTCTCAATTGAGGCCCCACAGACACTTCAAGGAAACTTCTTGTCCCTAAATTTGTCAGCCACCCATCATTACCCTTGCGGAGATCTGGACCCCGTTTAACCTTTCTCTGTCTCTGCACTGGCCCCACATCCAATAAGTTTCCCCTCCCGTATCATCGCTTGATCTTCTGCACCCTCCCTGGTCCTACCTTAGCCAACTTCTCCCTGCCCAGGGTCATTGCAATTAGTCCTCCCGTCTCCAGTCTTGCTCCCTTCCAATTTCAATTACTCAGCACTCCCAGAACATGCAGGTGGCTTCACTCGTCCCTGTCCCAGCTCCCATTCTCTCAACCTGGACACCCTGTTTCCAGTCCACTTGTTCAACACTGACTCTGCTTTCAGGTTCTGCTCATGATCAGCTTGAAGCTTGCCTGACCCTCTGTCCCCGAGCCCCTGGACATATTGCACCTGAACAGGACAAAGCTGCTCCGTTCATGAAACAAATGGGCTGACACAATAGTCTCCCTTTAACTCCTTGGTGCCCACACAGGGAATAAGTCCTCCCCCTCCCCCTCCCAGCAGTCACAACTTAACCTTCATCCCTACTACCATTAATGCACTATGGCACTTCTCTCAAGCTAACTTTGCCCTCTGGACCCACCCCTAATCTATAAAGAGAAGACAATTATCACAGGACTGTTCTATGGTTACCCAGAGTTGGCACTCAACAATCAGATTTTAGAAAAAAACTACTTCCAGTGATTCTCTGCTTAGAATTAGCCTCCCTGTCACCCCCAAGCAGTCATCCACCATTTAATGACTTAATGATCATTTCTTGAGGCCCATGTACAGGGCCCTGGGCACACAGTGAGTGTTCCTGACTGGAAGGGTTGGTCTTAACACCTCCTTGGGGGCTGCCTTGGCCTCATTCATGCCTGAATCCCCTAAAGCCCATCCACCCCAGGGGTCTAAAACAGGCCGAGCACATCCTGGACCCTCTGAACACTTCCTTCTGAGCCAAGACCACCACCTTCTGGGACCTACAAGCCCACCCGGTGCTGACAGGTTCTATGACCAGCTACCAAGGACCAGTCTGGCACGAGAATATCCCAGGAGATCAGCACCCCCTGCCCCAACAAGAAAGCAGTACAGAAAAGGTGTATTTCTATGCCTGATGTTTGCCTCTTCCTAATTCAACTCTAGAAACAAAGAAGAAAGAATCTGATGTACATCAGTATAGATGTTTTCCCACAGGTTATGTTTATTCCCAAACCCCAAATAGATAATTCTACCCACCGACATCCCTGAGACCCATTTTAAGGGCTGGAAAATTAAGGCACTGGATCAGAGCAGCCCTGTAGGGCAATGTCCCCTAACATGCAAAGACCCAGGTCTGGCAGAACAGAACAGAGAGGTGCTCCTCTTGCCTCTCAGAGCAAGGCCCTACAGGTACAGGGCCCTGGGCACACAGTGAGTGTTCCTGACTGGCAGAGTTGGTCTTAACACCTCCTTAGCACCTCTCTACTGAGGCTTCTAAGGCAGCCTCAGTGCTCCCCATCAACCCAATTCTGACTGAGAGCAGAGAGGAATCGAGGCCTCAGAACAGCAGCAGCTCCAGACAGGGAACAGTTGTGGAACCAGGCTGGGCCCGTCTTCCAGCCAGCACCAGGGCCCTTGTGCAGTTGTAGTGGGGCCCCCAAAAGAGGAAATCAGAGCTGAATCTAGTGCCAGAGGGATAGAAAGAAGTAGGGGCTCAAGAAAGCACCCCAAACAGGCTGCCAGGTTGAAGACCCATGGAGCTGAGAAACATTTGATCTAGACTCCAGAGCTGAACGCAGTGGGTGAGATGGGGAGGCAGTCCCACAAGGAAGGGCACACCACGTCAGGATATCAGCCTTGGCACTTCTTGGGGGTATCATGGTCACTCTTCTCTCCGGCAGGGTAACACAGTCTCAGAGCTTACTCCTAGGGGCCTCTGGGAGGGGCCGCTGCAGCCGCCACACCACCCTCACGGGCTCGGGGGCATTGTCCAGCTCCCGAAGGCCGCCCAGGTCGCCCGTCTGGCTGTAGCGCTGCAGGGCAGGCTGCAACACTGTGATGGGGATGCTGAAGTTCAGGTGAGGGTACGTGGCCCCTGTGTTGTTATCCCGGGTGTTGCTGGCGACGATGCCTATTGAGGAGTTAGAGAGGAAAAGAGGGTGTGAGTAGGAGGACAGACATGGTTGGGAAGGGCAGCCCATCCCCACTCTAAAAGTCCCAGGTTTCTTGAAGGCTTGAAGCCCCCTCATAGTGACAATTACTGGACTTGGGACACTGGATGCCCCTCATCCTGGTCCCCCGTTCCAGCTTCACTTTCTCCTTAACAGCATCAGCATCTAACATACCATATATCTATCTTATTTTGTTATCTTTCTCTCCAAGTACTGTCAGCTCCGCGAGGGCAGGACTTCGTTTTGGTCATGCTGTCTCCTCAGTACCTAGAACAGTGCCTGGCACAGAGGAGACACTCAATAAACACTTATTAATGAATAAATGAATCGGAATCCGACCAACAGACAAGTTTTGTTTGGCCTGCACGGGTGTGTATGTGTATGTAATTTTTTTAGATAAATATAGACTTCTATAAGCCTTGCCAAAACAGTATAGAGCTCCTGTTTTCCTTTGTCCAGCTTTTGTTTTTGTTAATATCTTGTTACCAAAAACATTGATGAAAACCAAGAAATTAACCTCGGTGCAATGCTATTAGCTGAAGTATAGAATTCATTTGGATTTCACCAGTTTCTCCATTAATGCATTTTATGCTCCAGGGGATCCAATCCAGGATCCCCCAAGGCATTTAGTTGCCATGTCTCCTCCAATCTGAGTCAGTTCTGTGGTCTTTATCTTTCATAGCATTGGCACTTTGAAGAGTAGAGATCAGTTATTCTGTAAAGTATCCCACAATGTGGGTTTACCTGCTCTTTTCCCATAAGATCGATATATTACATCAAGAAGACCAACTTGCTTTTCTCATTGCATCCCATCAGGAGGTGTGTGATTTCCAGAAGCATTACTTGTGGTGCTAATTACTGTCACTGGGCTAAGCTGCCCTCTGCCAGGTTTCTTCACTGCACACTCACTGTTTTTCCCTTTAGAAAGTACAGGCAGGCACACCTCAGACACTGCAGGTTCAGGTTAGACCACCTCAAAAAAGTGAATATTGCACCAATATTTTGGTTTCCCAGGGCACATAAAAGTTATGTCTATAATATAGTCGATTAGGTATGCAATAGCATTGTCCAAAAGAGAGTATATCCCTCAATTAAAAAATATTTTATTGCTAAAAAATACTAACCATCATTTGAGCCTTTAGCAAGTCATCATCTTCCTGTTGGTGGAGGGTCTTGTAAAAAAAAAAAAAAAAACAAAGAAGGCAACTAAATGAGATATGCCCTCTACTAAATGCTTTAGGCTTCTGCAAATGTTCTGTTTCTATGTAAATTTTGGTCCAGATTTGAGCATCATCTGGTGGATCTTGTCTGCAGCAGCTCCTACTGCGGTGTTCTAATAGTGATTTCCTATATTCCGCATTTCTTCTACATTCTACATTCTTCTGAGGTGTCACTTGTCTCCATTTAAAATTAATTCAGTGATTTAAGTGATGAGTCTGTGTGGATTCATAATAGTCACTCTTGTCTTCGGTTTGTTGCTCAAGTTGTTCCAGTGGCGCCTCCTTCAGATTGGCTCCTGGTTCTTTCGACATTTGATGTGCTCCATTGTTTTGTTGGAGTTGGTAGCATTTTCTTCCTTTCTAGCATTACAAGCTCCAGGATAAATTCTTGAATTTTCCCTGCCCCAGTCCTGTAATCAACCAGTTGTTGGTTTCTTTTATTAAAGAATGTCTCTTAGAAACCAAAATTCAGGCTCTAGTTGAGCTCATTGCAACTGGGATGTCACTGCTTCTAGCCCCTCAATGGACCAAGCTAGATTACATATATAATTTATATACACACGTATATTCTTATGTACATAAAATACACACTAATTCATGCACCCACATGCATCTGTATTATTTATGTGCCAACCAGTATATGGGGGAAATGGAATGCAGGTTGTGACAAATGGATCCCGCTGTATTACAAGTGAATCACCAGCACACTGAACGTGAGGGAGAGGAAGGAACTGACCCAAGAAACTAGCAAGAGTGTTTGCGTGGACACTTCAAGGCTAAAGATAAAAAGGCTGCACTCAAACACCTCACTCTAGTTGGTAAATTTGTTTCTCAGAGAGGTGTGGGCTAGGAATTCTGAAGCTCCTTAATTTATATACCAGGGTCAGAAAAATAAGTAAATCTACTGTAGATGGCACAGCAAGGCCTCCCACACAGAGGAAGCAGTCAGAAACAAGGAGAGGGGAGGCTGTTGCTGGAGTCCTTTTGGACTCAAGTTTGGCTTTTTTTTTTTTTTTTAAATAAACAGACTGTCTTATTAAAAATCTGAACTACTTGGCAATTTTAAAATTGAAAGATTTAACAATCATTTTTTTCAAATTCACATTTTCTAGGGGAAAACTGGAGAATCAGTCAGCATTAGGTCCACGTTCCTTCCTAAAGTGGCAACAACATGCTAGAGCTAAGTGGTGCTAACCCCAGTTTCACCCCTCACCTCTCCCAGCCATTGACTTTACTTGCTCATTCATTAGCCAACCTCTGTAGGCTTTTGAGTTTGAAACCTTCGGATTAACCCAACTACTGAGTTTGAAAGATCAAATGAGATTAAGTGACATACCTAAGACTGTGCCTTCGAGGCAGTGGCTTAGAGGCAGAAAAGAAACCAGAACTCAGGTCTCTTCCCTCCTGGATAAGCATTCACCCCTTTCCACTAATTGCAGCTTCCAAACGGGGGTGGCACCCAGGGCTGTCGTGGAACACTGTCTGGTTAAGCCTTAGGCTCTGGCATGGGGAAGTCTGGGAGAGGGGCCAGAGAGCTTACCCAGGAGGTTCCCTGAGTAGGTGGAGAAGAGGGGTCCCCCACTAGAGCCTCCGTGCACAGCACACGTGGTCTGCAGCATCACCGGTGTGTCATCCACCTGCACCACGGCTGACAGGATGCCTGAGGTCACTGAGGGACCACAAGTCTGGCCGAAGACACCGAAGCCCACCACACTGACAGCCTCACCTGCCAGGAAGGGAAGGGGAGAGAACCTTGGGAGCCTCTTCTCTCTGGCAGGGCTCCCCAACCCCGCCCCTGCTCCCTCCAGCATTCTAAACCTGCTCTGTTCTTCCATTTTCTGCTCACAGTCCTGCTTCCACACAGCATCCCCAGAGCCCCACAGGTGGCTGCCAGAACCCCCACTGAGCTCCCAGCATTGTATCTGCTGTATTCATTCCCCTGTGGGACTGGCTAGTCACTTTTTGGGGCTCCTAGCACCTAACAAGGTGCTCAATGAATGTTTACAGCATTAACAGCCATCTTCTCATGGAACTAAGAAGCATGTTAGTGAGAAAAGAAAAATAGTACTTGGACGCCACAAGGCACAGGGCTAAGGGCTTCACAGATCTCTCACCCACTCCTGACAACACCCAAGAGTAGGGACCATTTTATTCCCACTTCACAGATGTAGAAACTGAGGCAGAGAACATTAAGTTGTCTGTCCAAGGACACAGGGCTAATAAGTGGCAAAAGAGATGGCAAGTCTGTCATTCTATCACACTGTACCCACAAAGTGAGACCACTGCTACTACAGTGGCAGCATCACAGTCTTACTCAAATCATGCCACTAGGGCCTCAAACATGCAACAGCTGTCTGACCAGGCTGCAGAGTGCCTTGAGGCTCAGCACCTCCACACTACATGGCTGTAGGGGCCAGGAACAAGGTACCCTTACCCTCTGCTGGGGATTCCACCTGCCCCCTAGCATCTGTGGTCTGCTGGGCAAGAGCAGGAAAGCCTCCAAGAGCAATTCCAGCCTGATGCCACTCTGACTCAGTACTCCAGCAGAGGTGGAAAAGGGAGCTGGCCTGGGGGACTGGCCCCTGATCTTCAGGGTTGGAGCACCCAGTCCTGACTCTCCTTCCTAAGTTCGGCCCAGACCAGAAGGCACCCTTTGTCCTTTACCTTCATGGAAATTCTCAGCGGGCACAGGTCTGGGGACCCCATCTAGCTCTTCCTCCAGACTCACCACCGCTGTATCATAGGGAGACGTCTCCTGGGTGGCAAACACCACACGTCCCCAGATACGGACACTCCTGGGAGCAAGGGAAACAAAATGACATGTGAGCTTTCTGGCCATTAGCACTGGAGGAAGCAAGATGGGTGACAGTAAAAGTCATGAACTTGGGGGGGTCTCCCTGGTGGCGCAGGGGTTGAACACAGCACTGTGAAGCTATCCACAGCCCCCGCAGCACGAGTTCTATTCCCAGCCGTCCAGGAAGCTACCCATATGGGGCAGCAGACCTCTCCTGTCTGCTGCTCCCCTCAGCAGTGTATTTCGGTCAGTCTGCCTATTGTTCCCTACTCTGTCTCTGGTGAATCCTCTCATCCCCCGCACCTCTGGCCTGTAACCCAGTTTTTGTATGCATAAATAAATAAATCTTTTTTTAAAAAAAGTCATGAACTTGGGAGTTGAAAGTCTGGTGTCACCCTGAAACCTACCAGTCAGGCAACTCTGAGCATGTTACTTAACCCTTCGGTGGTATTTCCAAAGATGCTTTACAAACTGTAAAGTACCTCTTCATAAAGTTTCCTGGCCTTCACTCACTAAGATCATAAACACCTATCATCTCATGAGCACTGTGAGCCAGGCCTGGTGTTAATGCTCTATGGACATCATTTAGTTCTCACAACTGTTCTCACAACCAAATACTAATATCTCTATTTCAGACAGTGCCATTTCAGGCCCAGAGAGGCTGATCAACTTTCCCAAGGTGACAAAATGGTAGGACCCGGGGCAAACATTCCGAGCATTTTCCTTCAGTGTCCCATTTGATGCTCACGATCCTGAAGGCTGGTGGGAGAGGCATATGATTCCATCCCTCTGGGTCCTTATCTCTATAAATACTGGCACAGGAGTTACTACATGCAAGGCTCTGTTCCAAGACTTTACATGTCAATTTATGGAGAGGCAACTTACAGAGATTAAGGGGCTTCCTGCTACACACTCTGCAGGGGTAGCTTCCAGTAGACTTGGAGGCTTCTGTGTGTGGTGGTAGAGGGGGAAAGAAGGGGTAACGGGGAGACCACACACAGGGAAATGCTCATTATAAGTTTTCCCTATATAAAGCATGGCTATCCTGTAGGCTGCCAGTGGGAGATCCCTATGGCATAGTCAGGCTGGGTGAACCTTGGAAATTGAGTTGAGGGATTTGGAAAGGCCTACAAGGTAGGGTTGAGCCAGGCACAGGAAAACATCAGGCATTGATACCTAGGTGCTGCAGCTGCTTTGCTTTGACCTAAGTTAAGCACCTGGGACTACAGAGGAACTAGAACCTATACTAGAAAAGTAAGCCAGGAAACTGAGTCTGCTGTCCCCACTGTCAGAGCAAGTGGAAGTAAAGGAGGGCAGAGCCCTTTTCCCTGCAGAGGAAACAAATGACTAAAGTCACAACCTCGTTGCCCACCAGGAGCATCCAAATAGTGTTCAAAATAGGTCAGTCTGCCTGGGCCCCACTCCCATATTCTAATTGGGTGGAACCCCACACCTGTAATTTTGATCCAAAGGGAAGTTCTGGTTAAGATCTAAGAGTTAAGTCAAAAAGACTAACACACATATCTCATTATCCAAGGATAATGGCTCAGCATCCTGAGCCCCTGGGACTTCACCAGCACATTCAGGAAAAAGGGCAGAGTTAGGAAGTCTGCAATCAAGGGCCTGGTGGTGGGTGGGGGTGCTGAGATCTGAGACAGAGAAACCTCCCGCAAGGAATTCAGACTGTGAAGGGGCAATCAAACATACCAGCCTGCGCTGCAGGGTGACCCACTGTTCCCAAACCCAGAGTTGCCTGGCATCTTGTCCAAGTTCCATGCACTCCCTACCAGAGAGGTCTCGTCTGGGTGCCAAAGATGACGGGTCCGCCCCGGGCCCCTCATCACCAACGCATCAGCGCCAGGCCAGGCCTACACAATCCTCGGGATTAAGATTTGAGACGTGGGGAGCGGGCGGCACACTTACTTAGGGCTGGTGGACCACACCAGGACCCTGGCCGCCTCCCGAGGGGCGACGTGCCGACAAGTCACCACAAGGCGTGGCGTCACGGCCACTCCGGAGCCCCACACAGTGCCGCACTCCACCAGCACGGCCGAAGCTGCCCACGGGGACGCAGGGTCCTGGAGGGGCAGGCCCCACGGGGCTCCCTCTTCAGGGGGCAGGAGGGCGGCCAGGGCGGCGGCGTCGGGGGCCAGGCGGCCGAGCGCCACTCGGGCGGCGCGGACGAGAGGGGCGGCGGCGCAGAGCAGCGAGAGGCCCACCCACTCGCGGGCCTTCCAGCAGAGCGGCGCCGCCACCAGCGCCACGAGCGCGCCCGCCGGCCGCACGGCGAACACGCCGCCGCCCTCGGTGCCCGGCAGGCAGCGCGCGTCGGTGAGCAGCAGCGGGCCGGCCGCGTTGCTCAGCACGCCGCGGCTGAGCGTGTTGAGGAAGATGTCCGGGCAGAAGGCCCCGAACGGGGAGCCGCAGGCCAGCAACGGCGCGCCCTTGGGCACAGCCCCCAAAGGCGCCACGGCCACCGCGGGCCCGCGCTCCTTGGGGTCGTCCTCCCGGCCGGGCCGCACGCGCAGCAGCGCGAACCAGCCCAGCGCCCGCAGCTGGTCCTCCTCCTCGTCCTCCGGCGCCTCGTCGTCCGGCGCCGCGCCCGCAAAGCGCCACAGCTCGGCCGCGTCGCCTCCGAAGAGGCTCGCGAAGTGGGCCCGGAAGGCCGGGCAGCTCAGCAGCAGCAGCAGCTCGGCGGGGCGCGGGGGCTGCAAGGGCGGCCCGCGAGGCCGGGTCAGCGGGCCCGGCTCCAGGCCCGCGCACTGGGGCGTGCACAGGCCGGGGCGGCCCAGCTCCGCGCGGCCTGAGGAACTGGCGGCCATTGGACTCCACAGAACGTGCAGGCGCAGGTCGTCGGTGCAGCTGCTGCCCGGCAGGAAGGCGGCGCCCTCCGCGGTCAGCGCCCCGCTGCCGGCTCGCAGAAAAGGGGTGAAGATGCCCCCATGGCACAGCACCAGGCCAGGGCTGCGGCTCAGGATCACCCCACTGCAGCTCCACGAGCCCTCTTCGGGCTGCCCGGCGCGGGAGGCGTTCACCACGCAGCCCGTCAGCTCGGCCGCCCTCATGGCGGACCCCCACCGCCGCGCCATGGCCTCGGGGATGGCGCGGCCGGGGCTCGGGGAGGACCAGGCAGCTAGCGGGGAGCCGGGACGCGATCCGTTGACACAACGCAGCACCACGCACAACCGCCAGCCGGCGCCGCGAGCGCGACCCAGGTCTTCCTCCTCGGGCGCGATTGGCTAAACCCCAGCAGGCCTGATTGGCTAGGTTTGAGGCTGCGTCCTCATTGGCTGCTGAGACTGACCCCCCCCCCTTCTTTCCCCAGTTGGTTTGTCCCACCTGTACCTCGTCTGGAGAGCAGCATGCCCGGAGGGCCGGGCCGGGTGCAGAGGGCGCCGGGCTTTAGCCAGAATGGGAAGGGGAAGGGGAAAGAAGGGGTAACCCTTTTGGAGCCTAATTTCCTCTAAGCTCGTTGGACTACAGGAAAGTCACTGGCATGGCTAGACTTGCCCAGGCCATGACAGTACCTGTTAACATCTGCCTAGATCGAGAGGACATTTGCTCTCTGACCCCTGGGGTAATACGAGCGAAGAAATCCTTGGTCAACTCAGTGTTTTGGATTTTGTAAGTAAATCCTACAAAAATCCACTAGGCGGCTGGCGCTCACATGATTACATCTGGAGCCTTTTGATGCCAAAGTTCTTCACAACTTGACTATAATGAAGAGTAACTGAAGTAAAAAAAAATGTTTATGTATTGTATTTTGCGGTATGCACATTTCACATGACTTTATAACCACCACTTTATAACCCTGACCAGATTTATCTAGGTCAGCGGGGGGGAAATATAAGAGCCCAAATATAAAAAGTTCAGGTTTTGGGACACCATGCATCCTCTCTCACTCAAATCTGCAGTTGTGTTTAGCATGCAAAAGCTAACAATTGGGGAGGCTGTGTTCCAATGAAACTTTACTTATGGACACTTTAAGTTTGAATTCCATATAGTTGTCCTATGTCAAAAATAGCATCCTTATGATAAGTTTCTCTACACTTAAAGTGGGCCAGATTTGGCCTATGAGATGTAGTTTGCCACCCTTGATCTAACTAAAATAGCATAAAACATTACTTTTCCAAAGAAGTATCGGTGAGGACAGAGGAACATTGAAGGGTTTTATGATAGCCCCAAAACTTTCACCTCAAGCTAGTATTATTGTATCGCTAAAACACACATTAATTGTAATGATTGTTTTAGTACATATTTGTCTGCAGTTATAAAAATATTCAATTACTACTTAAGTTACATAACTTTTCTGCCTCAATTCCTTTACAAAATAAGTGCTGTTTGGTATATACACACATTAGGTAATAAGGGAGCTCCCAATGCTCCAGTGACAAACCAGTTTGAGAAGTGGCTGTAGGGACAGGGGGGCCAGTGGAAATGAATTTTTCACATAGTAGGCACATTCTTTAGTTCTGTTGACACAGAAGACGGCTTGATTAAGGTCAAATCTCTAAACTACCCCAACTTCCTAGTAATTAAGTTTCTTTCTCTCTAGAGCCCAGTCGTTCTCCCTTAATGACGCTCAAGCCTCCGGGACGAACTGTTATACGTCAAGCATTTTTGTGTTTATGGCACAACTCAGCAGAGAGTCCCAAGCCACAGCCAGCAGCTGAGGTGAGACCTCTTGAGTGCTAGGCTCATTGACTCAGACTTTAAGTCTCCTGTTCCATTCTGAAACTAGTAACACAAACACCACCACGTGAACACAGAACCCATGGCATCCTTTCATAGAAGACATTCGTTTCAATCACAGGATGTGTCCAATAATTTATACTCACATCAAAAAGAACTTGTTCCAGGGCAGTGTGGGGAGAAGAAAAAAAAAAAAAAAAGAACTTCCATTTTGCTTCCCATGCAATTAGTCCCAACGCTTTTCTCAACACAAGGCTTTCTACAAGCCTAGAAAAATCACAGGAAGAGGTTTCATTCCTTCCCCTATTTGGCCAAATGTAGCATTCAACTGACTCTCTCCAAATGTATATAAAATGGTGAATGAAACACAGCCAAACTAGACCCAGTCCTTGCTAGCATGTTAACAGATTTTTCTCAAAAGCCTGCCCTGTCCATCCTGTCTCAGAGATGATCACCAATCCTGGGACTTGCACACGTTCCAGGACTGTCAAATAGTATTGTTTTGGACTTCCTGTGCAATGTGTGAATTGCCCTAGTTTTTTCCTGGTAGCAAAATTTAAGTCTCTCACATCCTTATAAATATTTCTTCCCTTAAGTAGGGAGGACCTTTTGCTTCCCCCACTATGTTTACAATGTTTAACTCAGAACAAGCTAATGTTCCCCCACCCCCCAAGAAGAAGTGAGATAGCAAGTTTGATTTAACTTTTTATTAAAATGCTTAGGATACAGATTGACCTTTTGTAAATGACTGTTTTACTTTTCCTGAAATAGGACATATATTGCACTCTGATAAATCTGAATGAAAAGTCTCAATTCATGGGAGTTTCTGTACAAAGCTCTGATCCTTACTGTTAGGAGTCAAGCTCCTCACAGCAGCTTCCTTTTGCTATCTTATAGAAACTGTTATCTGTGGAGGCAAGAAATAGATCGACTTTTTAATCCCCTCATTCTCCAGTGGCCAAAATAAAACACTTTCACAAGAGCTGCCCTCTGCAGAATCCATGGTTTCCTAGCTTACTACAAAGTGATTAGGAATTAAGTAAACAAAAATAAGAAAACTAACACTGAAGCAATCATACTTCTCGTGTCTCTGGAGAGAGAAGTATGGCTAACCTTTAGCCAAAGGAAATTGAAAGTATGCAAGTTAACTATTTCATTCACCATTAGCTAGATTTATTCACTTAAGGCTTTAACCTCTTTCCAAACCAACAATTTTGTCCTAAGCCAGCTATGCTTGCTAATAAATGAAATGCATGCTCTTCCAAGATTTACACTTCACTGAGCCTCTGCATTTGGTACCTGGCAGTGAAAAAAACTATGCTTTCCCAACAGGTCAGTACTGAAGAGTAACAACAAAAAGTTCAGTAACAACTGAACACAAGAATACCCTCACCCCAGGAAGATGTTATCCACCTTCCCCATCTGCACACTAGAAGCAAGAGTCCACTGACTTTAACTCAGTCTTCTGCAAAAAAGCATCATCATCACAATTTTCAATTTTGAGAAAACTACCTCCAACTATTCATGAAAGGAAAATTGAATGAAGATCACCTCCCATCTTCAGACCATTTCCTATCCCTTCAACTTTCACTACAAGGGTAGAATATTGGTTAAGATCCAATTTTTACACATGGCATTGAGAAACTGGAATGCTATAAAAATAATCCTCATCATTTCACTAGGGATGCTGAGGCTTTATACTGTGCTTACTAACAAGTGATGGTGGCTCAAACAGTTCTACATGAAATTCTTGGATTAGTTTCCTCAATGTACTTCTGAAATGAAGAAAGGCAATTTCATACCAAAAACGGGAAAAAATTTGGAAGAGCTACAGATGTTAACCTTTATAAGCACCCCCCCCCAAAAAAAAACTGATAGCCAATAAAAAGACAGAGCTCATGAACAGTGGAGTCATAGTCACCAAATTCTACAAGCAGAAATTTTAAAGTCCACCAAATAAATTTTTCCTAGAGTCCGTAACAATACCAGATGTTTAAGTTCTCAACTCACAGAATGAAAGAGCCCTTTAAGCTATGACCCTCGTCCTGTGTGATTCTCCTATTCAGAAAAATTTCTTCTAGAATCTGCAAAAGTAACTGAGACACATCTGCAGTGTATGACAACATGGGAGATGTTCTCAACTCTTATGAAGTGAAAGTTACTTTTTATAATTGAAAATGAAAAAGGTGCTATAGAGAAAAATGAATGTCACAACAGTTCAAAGCAAAGACTGGTTCAAATGTATAACTTTATAAGTAAAAATAACTATAACCCACTCTATAATTAACTCCAGCAGTGAACAATCTGCCATACATTCCATGATGAGATGACCCTGGCTTGCCACAGTAGAAATCTGCTACAACTACAAGCCCAGGGTTCTGTCCTTTTCTTGTTCTCTGTACAAGGTGATGCCACCTACAAAGGCAGAGTCATGGACCTTCCTGTTGCTAACTCAACAAGAGTAAGTTCACTGGACTGAGTTCTGGCCTCCAGAATGTATCTGTGCATAATTTTATGAACTATGTAAATACCATTCACTAGATTAAAAAAAAAAAAAAAGAATAGAAAGCTCTGGACCAAGTAAATTGTGAACTTAAAAAGTTAGAAGGGACACCAATTACATTAACAACACTTTCTTTAAAAAATAGAATCACTTTCTTTTGAAATCAACCACAGTGGTGAGACGTGTTTTTCTTTCCAGGTGCCCCACGGTGGCACACAGCTTTACCCAGCAAATCCTGCCAGCTTCCAAGTCCTGGGATGCTGACCTGCACCAGTACGTGGGGCAGCGTTACCTCCCAACAGTGTGGAGAAGAGCACATATCACCACTGGGCGATGAGAGAGCTGAGACTCTTGGCTTCTCAACGCCAGACATGGTTGGAGAGCTTTCCTTGCTCTATTAGAAAAGTTCATGAGGAAGCTGTGAATAGGATCAGTCCAGAGAAGTAAAACTCTTTTATTTCATGGTCCACACATCAGTCAATATACTGGGAGAGCCAGCGGAAGCCCTCGCCGTAGCCTTGCCTCTTGAGCACACTGCACATGAACACTTCCATAGGACGGGCGTTCAACTCCTTCAGGGTCACATTTCCCTAAGGAAGGCAAAACCAAGAAAGGCCTGTTAGCATCTCCACGGTATAAGAGTGTGAAAGGGTAATCACAAATCTCACTTTCTCCATTAGAAGCAAATCTAAATAGGGATTAATTGTAGAAATGTAATCAAGGCCATTTAGATAACATCCTGTGGTCTTCAAGCTTTCAGGATAGAGTGAGCACCACAATCCTATTCTCAGCCTTCCTCTCTCTGTGAAGAGTATTTGCTGTGAGTACCCTCAAATTCAGCTGGAAAGTTATGACAGCAAAACAAGAAAAAGGCCACTGGGACCATAGAACCAACATGTTCTTCGATGGACAAAAAAAAAATTCTGGGATATTTTCGAACAAGGTCATTCTCATTAATGCATGCATTCAGAAAATGTACTAATAGGTTATGTCAAGGAAATTAAGAATGAATGTGAGTGAAACACTGATGCAGAAAAGGGGAAACTAAATCACTCCCAGTTTGTTCATGTTCAAAGGAAGCAATTATAAAAAGAAAAAACCAACAAGAGATAAAAGTAAAGAACCATGTAAAAGAACATCATTATGATCCCAGAAAAGGAAAAATCTTATACTCAATATGCCAAAACCCCGAACTTTCCTGTTTAATTATAGCTGAAACAGATTTTCTCTCTCTCACAAGCTTATTTTTCTGCAACAGAGTTCTCCTAACTAGAGGCTGCATTACCTAGTATTCTGGAAGACTAGGTTTCTACCCCTGGTTTTATCACTGACTTACTGTGTAGACCTTAACAAATCACTCCCAGTTTATTCATGTTCAAAATGGGGATAACAGTACTATCTCTCTCAGCAAGGCGCTGACCCAACTGTTTCAATTTTAATGCTTGGAAAGTGATATAAATGATCACTCTGCTTCATAACCTGAAACCTCGAGTCAAAAAGAAAATGAATTTCCGGCTAAGAAGGGTTCTTTTCAAATGAGATTTTTCAGAATAAGATTTGAAATATAGTCAGAAAATTCTTAAAATGGTAATTGACTTTTCTACCATTGCCTTCATTCTCAAAGACCCGAGGAATGTATCTCACTAGAAAATAGTTAAAGAACATGTTCCTGACTTCAATAATTACACAGAGTAAAATAAATTCTAAGCTAGTAAAACTTGTGAGAAGTAAAAACTATTGGAAGTAAAATCTAGATAGCAAAACACATCTTAAAAGCTGTGAACTTTCTTTATATATCCTCTGCAGATTTTTCTCTTACCTTTCCTGTTGTCTGTCCATAAAGTCCAAATATCTCACGGAGTTTTTCTTCACTGATTGCATCTGTTCTATCAATTTTATTACCCAAAATAAGGATTGGCACATTGGATATTGTTTCATCAGTCATTAAAGCCTAAAAACAAAAACAAACAAAAGCTAAATGAAAAATCTTTAGCTGTCTACCATAAAATGAAAACAAATTTGACTCTCACTTGTCTCTAAGGTATCAAGTATACAGTGAAAATCTATCTTTATAGTGATTAAAAATTAATCTTTTTGTAACACCCTACTAATAAGTAAAAATCCCCTAAATGCCTCAAAACTACTGTAACTTACGGCTGTGACTGTTTACAAGGCAGCAGACTGCCCTAACCTGGACTCTAGGCTAACTCACTCAGCCACAGGCTGAGTGACCATTAGGCACAGTCCCAGAAGAATGAACATTCTGTTTACAGAGCCTCCAGATGACTACAAGAACTCCCCAAGTATTCCGTGAGCACCCAATGTGTGTCAAGTACTATCAAACTGTGATCTCAGGGAAACAAAAGGAAGGATAAGACATATCCCAGGCCCCCAGAAATCCTCACTCTATCAACAAAGCAAGCAAGTAGATGACTGTTACAATGAATGGGGACAGAATGAAAAAACCATTAAAAAATGAAAGTAATAAAATGGCAATGTGGGCTTGAAGAAAGTCAACAAAGATGTGGAACCTAAACTGGGCTCTGAAAGACAAGCAGAATTTGGGTAAATGAAAAGGCGATGGAATAACATAAGCAATGACTTCACAGTAAAAGGATTCAGGAAGCCACATGGAGTATGGTCAAACTGGATTAAAGCATGTCTGCTGAGATGCAGAGACAGTAAATGAAAGGGAAAGATGGGCCTCCCTGGTGGCTCAAGGGGTTAAGACGCAACCTATGAAGCTATCCGCAGCCATTGCAGCTGGAGTTCGATCCCCAGCCAGGGAGTACCCACATGGCGTAGCAAACCACTCCTGTCTCACCTGCTGCTCCCCTCAGCAGTATATTTCAGTCAGTCTGCCTGTTCTGTTTCCCACTCTGCCTCTAGTGAATCCTCTCACCTCCCATACCTCTGGCCTGTACTCCAGTTCTTGTATGCATAAATAAATAAATTTAAAAAAAAAAGAAAGGGGAAGGGATGACCAACATTTTGATGTCCGAGAAACCGGCTGCGATAGATCCTAAAGACTCCAATTCAGAAGTCAGTGGATAGACTCGACACTTTTAGTACAATTAATTGACAAATAATAAGTGTGGTACTCAGGTGAGAGCTGATGATCTAGCTGAAGACAGCAGCATGTAATGAACAGTGCAGTAGGCGTTCTGGAGAAAGAAACCCACCATTACAGATTCACTTGGTGAAGAGGGTGATGTCTAAGTGGTAAGATGAACAAGAAGAATCAAAGCTGGCAGAGATTTCAAATCCGAGAAGAGAATCTAGTTCTCACTGACTGGAAAAACTAGGGAAGGAGAGTTGAAGGGATAAAAAGGAACATGCTTTGATCATCTTAAGTTACAGGAAATGTTAGACAAAATCAGAGTAAAGATGCCATTCATGCATTCATTAAATCCTATCCAAGTGCCCAGTCTGTGTCCTATGCTTTGCTAAGTGTAGGAGTTTCTCAAAAAGACAAGGTCTCTACCATGTAAGTTCACAGTATAGTAGGAAAGGACTATAGGCAAGACAACAGACACTGATGAGGAAGACAATCTAATAGTCTGAGAAGTGAGGGAAGGTGTCTTAGAAGTGGTCACACCTGAACTCTAAGATCTCTTAAAGGACATTTTGAAATTTACCAGCAAAGTGGGTTAGAGGGTAAGGTGAGAAAGTAAGGCAGGTGTCCCTGCAAGTACTCAAGGAAGAACAAGTTGTTCTATTTGGAATGCAGTTTAAGGTAGGTTACAGAGAGAGAGAAAAAAACTGGTGAAACAGTAAAGATCATAAAAGATCGTAAAAAAATGCAAAAGGTTTGTAGATTTTATCCAAAGGTAACAGATCTATTAAAGGATATTAAGGAGGGCAATGACAAGTCTGAGAAAGTTCCTTCTAACATTATAGTATGTGGCAGGTGGTGAGGGAATCTATAGTAATTCAGGACTGCATGCCAGATAGATGGTGGGGCAGTTCCATTCTAGAAGAACAGAACTGGTAGGTGAAGTTGTCTAGTAGGAAGCGCTATGTACGAGGCTGGAGTACAACAGAAGTTTAGAGGAGAAAAGTCACTGGCATATGGGTAGCAGATGAATGAATGGGAGTAGCCCTGACCACCCTGGGGAAGAGCAAGCCATAGGCTACACAGCTGAACAGGTGGTTGTGAAAGAGCCTGAGAAGTATTAGTCAGAGAGAGAGCACAAAAACCAAGATCGTAAAGGGGGATTTAGAGGGAGAATGGCTAGTGCCAAGAGGTCATGTGAAGGGCTGGCTTACAGGTGATTGTACATGACATGAGGTTAAAGCTACAGATTTGAGAAATGCTTACAAATAAACTTCAGACCAGTTTAAACTGCAGGAACAATGCAGAGAAACAGCTGAAAAATAAAGAGAAGAGGCACAGGGTAAGGCAGTAGGGATAACAAAGGCAACATAGAAAATGTCAAGTCAAGAAAACACAAGGCTGAAAAAGAAAATCTCAAATAAGTCCTTGATAGCATCAAGTGTTGCATGTAACCAAAACTGAAGGCTGAGAAAAAACTTAGGGTCTGGCAAGTCGTGCAACAGAAAGGTAGGCAGGCACAACCTCGAAATGCAGATTCAAAAACATAAAGAACCTGAATACCCCTTTTGAGGTTTTGATATAGCAACACTTCATAAAGAGCGACCATACACGACATGTGAAAGAGAGAGACATGTATTATGCTGGGACAACAGCAACATAAACTGGGGAGTGTGCTGAACACACTATACATAATTTACACTATGACAGATATAAATAGTTAATTTACTCAAGCTGAAGAAACTCAGAAATGTCTCAGATTTTAAGTCCCTCCCTTCCTGTAACTAGGACTTTTACCAAATATTAACTGGAATGACTAAGTACTGGCAGTACTATGCTCTATTCCTTAAAAGAAACAGAGGCCAAGAGAAGGGAAAAAAACAAACGTACATTGAGCTCAACTTTGGATTCCATGAGGCGAGGATGATCTGCACAGTCCACCAGAAAGACAATTCCATTAATTGCTGGGAGATAATTTTTCCAAACCCGACGAGCTAAAAGACAAAGTTTGTAGTTGTATCAATAAAAATATTTATCTGAGAATGAATAGTCTATAATAAAGTGGAGAAAGTTTGGTCAGGCCTAAACCTAGCCAGTATTAAATTAGGACAGATGGTATAAACTAATGATCCATGAACTGATTCTGATTTTTAATTCTATAATCAGGTTTTCTGTTGGATTGTGTGAAACTGCAATATCTGGCAATTCCATGTCTTCCTACCCACATGCCAACAATCAGCTGGAGTGGAGAGGTAGCTTCCCTTTTGAAAAGGTCTGGCCTCCTCAGCTTGCCCAAGTTTCCACCACTCCCAATACACCCAGCCAATTTCACTCAAGTGATCTACCTCACCCCTGGAGCCATTTTAGTTTGCAAACTCTGAGTTTAAATATTAGGATGCAAATTACTTGTTCATATAACTTTGCTCCCAAATTAGTTCCTACACTATAGTGTAGTGTGCTGACACTCATCCACAAGCCCTCAGGAAAACTGTGCCTGACTGGCGGCTGACATTCACAGACAGTACCCCAGGCTCCTACATTTAACCCAGAGAGTCCTACACATTTTATTTTTTTTACATGACAGTAAGTAATAACAATTTGGAAGGGAATGCTTTAAAATTGTATTATAATTTCTAAACCATTCTTTTGTAGTCCTTTCAGTAAGATGAATATGGAAGCATCTCTACATCAAACAATTAACAATGGTTATCCTCTAAAAAGTGGTACTGGAAAGGAAAAGTTGAAAGAACTTTCCCTTTTATTTCCATCTTACTATACTGAATTTGTTATTGAGTGCAGACAACTTCAAGTTAAATTTAAAACTTTTTTTTACAAAGTTACACACAAATAGGGAAACCTTTAAATGGAAAGCATTTTAGTAATTTTTATAAAATGGGAGTTATTTATCTATTATGAAAAAGTATTCCTGTCAATTTTCCTCAACAAACAAAACACTACTATGAACATCAACACTTTTTTTTGTCTGTCAGAACCTGAAAGCTAAATTGATGACATCAAATGAATACACAATACTCAGCTTAAGTGTCTAAAAACCTCCTCCTGCATTCTCCGGATGGTCTCAGTTCAATTTTTAACTGTATTATCCTGAATTTATATTTGTAAGCATTACAAATTCTTGTGAAACAGAAAAGACACCATACATATATTCCTATCCAAATAAGAACACAAACCCATTATAGAAAAAAAGGAAACAATTTATAATCTTCCATCAAAATATACTCCATTAATGTTTTCACATAATTTCTCTCTTTTTTTGCACAGGAATTTTACATGATTACAACGATACTACATGTACAATTTTGTAGTCTATAAATATTAAGTAAATAAATTAGTGTATATGTTAATGAAATCACCAACTAAAATTATCTGGGTTGCTTACGGGCCTTTTGGCTAAAATTATGTGACTGAACTATTAGAAGTTACCAATATTCCATTTCTTAAACTATACTTCTAAAAAACTATGTTAAATTCAACCTAATATAATACTCCAAAAGGAGACTTCTCAATTTAATCTAGTACCAAACGAGTTAACCTGACAGAATCTCAGTAATTTCTTTACTACCCTCCCAGAATATTCACTGCATTTCAAATGTTTTCCCCCAAGCCTAGAGTCTTGCCAAATATAAAGTGGGTGTCCATCAGAAAAAGCCACCCATTTTGTATATCTCTAAATCATATGCAAAATAACTGTCAGGAGTCTGGGAACCAAATTGACAAAGTCTAAGTTAAGGCAAAAAGCACTGAGAACTACAAGTTAGAAGATAATGTTACAACTGCCCCAATGGGTAGATTATACAAAATATCAATGTAGATCATAATGGTCAAAAGTAGCCATTATGCCTCCCCGGTGGCGCAGCGGTTGAGCGCTGGGTTGCGAAGCTGCCTGCGGCCTCTGTGGCACCAGTTCGATCCCCGGCTGCTCCCCGGCCACCAGAGGAGGGTCCCACATGGCGCGCAGACCTCTCCTGCCGCCCGCTGCTCCCCTCAGCAGTGTGCTTCGGTCCTTCTGCCTGCTCTGCTCCCTACTCTGGCTCTGGTGAATTCTCTCACCCTCCCGTGCTTCTGACTGTACCCAGTGCTTGTATAAATAAATAAATCTTTAAAAAAAAAAAAAAAAAGTAGCCATTATGCAATTTTTGCAACTGCTTACAAATAATTACTTATTTCCTTACATTAGCTCAATTGAAGAAAGGATACAAAGGAAACATGATTAAATGCTTTATATGATTTTGCACTGGATCTTGTTCAACAAGAAAAATGTTTTCAAGGAGGATTATTGGGACAATTGACCAAAAAAGGGGAAGACCTACTATAGAGTAGATAAAACTAAAACAAAGTTCCTGGGTTTGTTAACTACTATGATTATATGAAAGAATATTCTTGTTCTTAGGAAATATGTTTCCAAGGTTTAAGGAGTAAAAGAACATGATATACTCACAAATAGTTGCAGAAAAATGAATACGAGTATGCATTATATAGAAGGAGATTAATCTAGGCAAAAGATATGGGGAGGAGAGGAGGGGTTGAACGGTCTTTTAGAGAACTCTGGATGAGTTTGAAATGAGTTAAAAATAATAAATGACTAGAACAACTTCATCAAAGTACTAAGATCTTAATCCTATATGCAAGCAATTTAAAAGATAACACAGTGCTTTCAAACAAAAAAAGGGCACAAAATAAACCGAAAGTCAAAACCACCCTTACACTGAGTCATTTCTTACCTTGCTCATGACCACCAAGATCAAAAGTTGTAAAAGTCATTCCAGCAATTGTCAGCTCTTCTGATGCTGAAAAATTGTCATAAAAAAGAAGAAAGAAATAAACTTCTCCATTCAATGAGATCTAGCTACAATACAATTTGTACTGTAAGCCAACACAAATTCAACACTTAATGAAACTTTCACCTTGTGAAGGATACAAGAGTGAGAGTATTTTTAAATTATTCCAAAAAGCCAAGATTTTTGGTACTCCAAGGTGTTTGCTGCTGCTTAGAAAGATATGGGAGATGTGTGCCACTACAAGATTAGTGAGAACAGAGGGTGACAAAGATCCAGAGATCTAGATTTTTGACCATGGGACCTGGGCGTGTACTATAGAAAGAAAGCTGTTTTTTTTAAGTGAGTGATCTTTTGGGACCTCGGTTAATAAAAAAACATCATCAATTGGGGATTCTTCCTCCAAGCCTAACACTGACCTTCAAATATCAAAAGGTCACCTGGTATTTTCAAACCTACTCGGATGTAATGTTGGAACATGTTGGCCCAATCTGTCATCTTTGAGCATATGAAGAAGAGTGGTTTTGCCTGCATTGTCCAAACCCAAAAACACAAGTTTTCCAGATTTCTTGTAGAGTCCTAAAAGAGAAAAAATAATTTTAATATAGTTTTATCCTCTTCACACCAAAGGCTACTTCAATTGAAACTGCTGGAGGAAAAGCAAAGTGTGACACCCATGATATATTTCAAGGAAACAGCCTTACCTAGAAACTGGAGGACACTGCTGAAGCCATTGTAGATCCACTCAAAGATGAAAGACATTATTAATGCTTACTACCTGTATAAAATATGAAAGCAGCAAACGTTAGCTTTCTGGGTGTTAGTCCAGTTCTGGAGAAGTTAAAGTTTATTTCCTGGCCCTGATACAAGTTTACAGTCTAATGTTTTTGGACATTAAAAAAAAAAAAAAAAAAGGATTTTGCACCCTGGCAGAAAGTTTCTAGGGTCCTCAGATCTGCACAAACTTCTGGCTTTCTAAAGTTCTATGATACTCAGAGTAATAGGAGTTAAAGACATATTTTCCTCTTTTACTGCGTGACTCACTTCTCCAGGCAGCTGCTCATTCACATTCCCTAGATACATCATTGCTGTCTACCAGTTAGCAACACCTCTAGGAAATCAGTCTCATCGATAATCTGGATCAAAATGCCACACAGATGCACTAAGTAGAAAATTAAAAAAGGCATATTAACCTGAATGAAAAAACATATTATCTGTCCTTTAAAACAGTTCTTTAAAAAGTCAGCAAAAGTCTACTGGTTGGCACAATTTGCCCTGCTCTGTTTATTAACACTTTCTCTCTTTAAACAATACTGGTTTAGCCCTTTTTGCAAATATATGTCTCATCTCACAAAAAGAAGATTTAGCTATTTTGGTGAACCATGAAGCAATAAAAGAATCCTCTCATAATGTGAATAATTAAGACTTAACCCTATTTAACAAATATGGATTTTCTTAAAATAAAAATATTCATTCAGGCATACCTGATACATGCCAATCCAAGTACATACCTTAATTAGTATGGATATTAATACTACTTTTCCTATTGTTTTCCATAGGCCTAGACAAAACAAAGGATGGCCCGAAGATAATAAAAGGGCTACATACATTGGTAATAAGCAAGAGAATCCCTGAATGAAGTTAAGAAAGTAAGAGCTAGTCAGGTTTGCCTCAAAACCTCAGATTTGGTGCAGATAAAAGAAAGATCTCCCACATTTCACTCCTCTCCATCAGCAGGAGAATCTGATCACAAGGCTTTATAGTAGATGTGACTGAGTGCTATCAAACAAAATTTTCATGAATAACTTAGAAAAGGGTTATCTACAAAAACCTACCTAATATTCTTTCTCCCAAGAATGCTAAATGAAAAAGAAATTGAGAAATGAAGAAAGTATGCATGGTCTTTTTCATCCTGTTATTGGGGTTCTTTTGTAAAGCCTGTGGCCAGACCTATAAACCTCAGAGGATGCTTAATGCTTATTTTCTATGGCTTTTACCATGCAGCACCAAGTGAGGCTTAGGGCTTTGCTGGGGGTAAAGAATAAAGACACAAACTTTTATGAAAAGATACTAAGAGGTTTTTGGCCCTTTTCAGTAACCTCAAAATATATTTTGGCAGGCAAGCCAAATTTAGCATGTTAAATAATAATTCTGTCTGCAAATTCCATCTGCACTTTAAGAAGTTCAATCACTTAAATACACTTACAAAGCCCCTATGCTTAAGTTCCCACTGTAAGTAAGTAAAAGAGCGATGCACCTCTCCTCTGCAAACTAGGCATCCTTACCTACTTTTCTCATTAAGGTCATCCCACTCTGATCACTCCTTTAAAACCCAACAGTTACATATATATCTGCACTATACACTGGCTTGCAGCCAATGCTCTATAGACTCTGAAAAGTTCACCACATAATTTTAGAAATAGTCCCAACTAGATGAATTCTTCAACGTGACAGGAGAAACTCCACTTTAAGGAATTTCTGCTTTAAAAGTCCTATAATTCTCTCCAAAGTGATCTAGAGAAAGAGCACTTGAAGAAATTCTTCAGGTGATATTTAAAAAAAAATAATAAAGCCTTCACTGGACCCCAAGAGTTGGGTTGTACTGCTATGCAAAGTTAAGGAAATGGTCATGAAGGCTCCTCTAATCTCTAAAGTCTTAGGATTCCTAGTTTCTCAATGAGGAGTTTTACAGCTTACACAGTGTATACACATAAATCTCATTTCATTCTCACACCAACTCTACCCTGGCAGGAATCTTTGGCCTCACTTAACAAGATGAGGATGCTTATATTCCTAGGTCAGCTGCTTGGCCAAAATTGTTCAACTAAAAAAAGTAACAGCGCAGAATTTAAACCCTCCTCTTAATACCACAGTGAAAGCTCTTCCTTTTAATAGCACACAAAATTCAAATCCAAATCACAAAATTGCTTTAAAAAGGAAAAGCAAAATTCACCAATTACACAGATGTTATCTTTCTCACAACTTAACATCCCTTTTGAATGGTATTTTAATAATTTACATTCTATTTATTTTCTATTCTTGATCTCCTCTATTACCTTAGGGCATCTTAGGGCAAATTAGAGTACTTAAAAATTCACCCGGATTAAATAACAAAAGCACTGCCAGTGTACTCGAAACTAAAACTTGCAAAGTTCAAGAATGATTCAAACAAACAAAAAGGAGGCGCACTAGGATGACCATTAGCCAATAAAGAGTCCACGTCTCACTCCTTATACACACTCATTACTTCTTAGGCACACTCAGTACAAGTCCGACACACATTCCAGACATATCTGAGGTAGCAGGCAGCTGGCTTTTAGCTAAGAAACTCTGGTCAGCGGCAGGGTAAATGTCAAACATCGGCCCCATTGCCAATCTCCATTAAGTCCCCATCACAATCTAAGCAGATGGATCGAGGTAAAGGAGAAAAAGACAAGCGGCCAGGGAGAACACTAACACTTTAGCGCCGACCCTCATGAGTGTGCTCCCGACTTCTCGGTTAGCACTGAGAAGTAAACATACCGCATGTGAGCATTTTTTTTCCATGCACTGTAAAGAGAAGGGAAAAAGAGGGGGAAGGCGAAAATACGGGGTTCGATCCAGGCCATGAGATGATAACACAGAAGCGATGTGGGGGGAAGCCCCGGGCTAGGAGTCAGAAGACCTGGTTGGAAAGCCCACACTGGCCCCCCGCGGGGCCTTGGCCAACCGCGAGCCTCGGTCCCCGATCCTGTGAAACAAGCACCGTCCAAGATTCCGACCCGCCTCACCGGGCGCCTCATTCGAGATAAGGGATGTGAAACCGTTCCGTAAACACGAGCGCACAGTACACAAGAAAGCTGTGATTCTGCTCGGCGTCCGCAAGACCTGCAGGCGGAATGCAGACCCACAAGGTACCCCAGAGGCCGGCAGCCCACAAAGTTGACCCCGCCGAGTCGGCCCGTCCCCGCCCAGAACCAGCCCCGAGGCCCTTCAGAACCGCCTGCGTGTCACTTCCCCGCCCCCCACCCGCCGGCGCCGGCCTAAGCCCGACCCTCCCGGCCGTCCATCCCGGCCCCTTCGGCCCCGGCTCCCTCCCTCCCTCGCCGCGGCCCCCCGACTCACGGCCCGGGGGGCTCCTCCTTGGCGGCGGGCAGCTTGGACCCTCCTTCGGAGCACACAACCCAGCAGCACCAGGGGCCGCCAGCTACTCGCCGGATATACGTAACACGCCCTCCCCCGGGACTTCCGGGCGCGCGCTTGCTCCCGCCCCCTCGCCGGCGTCTGCGCGCTCCGCGCCGGCGGTGCCGCTCTAGCAGCGACTCGGGCGGCGGAGGGGCGGGCCTTGGGCGTGACGACACGCGATCGGGGGCGGGGCCTATTTGTCCCCGCCCCTCTGCGGGACTGATAGACGTGGCATCGCCGGGGCGCTGAGGATGGGGCAGGATTCTGGAGACCCGCGGCGGCCCTGGACGCCGGTGATCGCGGCGGCAAATCCAGTGCGTTCCCCGACGCACCAGGAAAATCATTGGCGACCGACTGTTAAGTAGGTTCTCGGGAACAAGAGTGAATCTTAGAGCCCTCCAACTGAGGTGGAGCCCACTATTTTCCCTGTGATAGCCTACTTTTTAGAACTGCTAAAAATTCATTGAGCAATTCCAATGCAATGGACTTTGCGTGCCCGATCTCATTAACGAGTGCTATTATCCCCATTTTACCCAAGAGAGAAGGGAAGTTCAAAATAGTCTACTGAGCAAGCCCAGGTTCATACTTGCTATCAAGGAGCAACGGAATATGTTGAATTTTGCTACAGGCATTTTTTTCATTTAGTTCTGAGGACAATCCTGTGAGATTGATATTATTAATACTGCCTTATTTTTTTGGAATAAAGTTAAAAACTAAGCCCCACTCCTGACCCAGCAGGCAGGTTTGGGAGGCTGGAATGGATAAGTCTGCCTCAGGGACAAGGCCATAAAACCGACCATGACCAGAAAAACCAGCCCAGCTCCAGAAATGCAGAAGCAGAGGCAGAACATGTTTCTGTGTCAAAGGCCAGTATCAGAGACCAGACACCTAGCAGATAACTGGTGCAAACTAGCGTCCCAACTTAGAAAGCCCGCGAAAACAGTATAAAAGAGAGCCTCAAGTCCTCCTTTTGTTACAAAGCCTGTATGGAGTTTGCTCAGGACATCCTTTCCCCCTATCACTTTGAGCACAGACTTCTCCCCTGCTGCTTCTCTTAGCAGTGTATTTCAATTAATAGACGGATTCTGTTCTCCACTCTGTCTCTGGTGAATTCTTTAACGCCTGTGCCCCCTCACTCTGATCTTCTCCCCACATTTTCACAGATAAGAAATCTGAGTCAAATGGAAAGATGAATGATGTTTTTGGGTAAGGAGTTTCCCTAAGTTAATCTATAAATTTTACATAATCCTAATAAAAGCACTGATACAATTAATAGTTCTGTATGTGGGGTTTTTTTTTTTACAGATTTATTTATTTATGCATACAAGAACTGGGGTGTAGGCCAGAGGTGCAGGGGGTAAGAGGATTCACCAGAGACAGAGTGGGGAGTAGAAAAGGTGGATTGACTGAAATACACTGCTGAGGGGAGCAAAGGGTGAGACAGGAGAGGTCTGCTCTGCCATGTGGGTCAGTCAGCTCCCTGGCCAGAGATCGAACTCCTCCTTCAGTGGCTGAAGATAGCTTCACAGTGGTACTGTTATAGGGCAGCCCCGATATATTGAACGGGTTGCCTGGCTGTGGGTCCTCATCCGCACGCTTAAAAGGGACTTATTAATACTCCACTACAGGCACACACAAAAGGTTAATAAAAGGTTTATTTACAAGGGAAAAGGAAATAAGGAAAATGTACAACTCAGGGAGAAAATAGGGAAATAAAGTCTTTAATGCGTCCTACCCGATCCGACGACCTGGAAACCCAAAAAGCACTCTCAGAGCTGGCCAGACGCGCGAGCTGGCGGAGAGTCAAAATGGGGGGAACTCTCCAAAGCCCACGTGTCTGCCTTTATACCAACCTGGCTGCTTAACCCCACCCACAGATCCCAGCCACCTTCCCTTTGGTGGTGATGGGATTTGGAGTTCCCAGTTTCTTTTAGCTTTGGTCTGGAGTGGGGGTGGAGTCCACAAAGCCTGTATGGAATTAGCTTTAGGACATCCCTTTCCCACTAACTGTGCTACTTACCCCTTTGCACCACCAGAGAAGTTCCTATGTTTTGTTTTGTTTTGTTTTTTTACTACCCTATTTGTTATTACAATACAAACAGAAAAATAAAAGGACTAGACAGAAAACAAACAGGCTCTGAGAAAGAACAAGGCGGGGAGAACTAACACTATTAGGTATTAAAACGCAGATTCTCAATATTTAAAGCAGTTTGGCACCGGTGCACAAAAAGTCAAACAAAGCACAGAAAGACCCCAACACATACAAAAATAAAATTCCAGTGACACTTGGCAATACTCAGAGGGGGCTGGATGGCCGAGCTCACCACCTACCCACCTCCTTTCATCCTGTGGATCTGCTGCATTGAATATGAATCCTGCCCAAACACTTGTAGGGCTTGAACCATGTTCTGAGGCTTCTTACCATGGCTAAACCTGGGAAACTGTGTTCCTGGGACTTGGTACCCCAATATGTGCACACTGAAAACACTGGGCTGCCCCAGAGCAAGCTAACACATTGGGTTACTGATAGAAGCCTGGCTCTGTTATAGGGCAGCCCCGATACAAAACGGGGTGCCTGACTGTGGGTCCTCACCCGTGCGCTTAAAAGGACTTATCAATGCTCTACTGCAGGCACACGTGAAAGGTTAATAAAAGGCTTATTTACAAGGGAAGGGGAAATGAGGAAATGTACAGCTCAGGGAGAAAAATGGGAGACAAAGTTTTAAATGCATCCTACCCCATCCGCCCATCTGGAATCCCAAACGGCACTCTGAGAGCTGGCCGTGGGCCTGGAGCCATGAAGCCAGGAGGTAAGCGAGAGAGCGGGAGACCCCAAGGTCCACGTGTTTGGTTTTTTATACCAACCCTGGCTGCTTAACTCCACCCTCAGGTCCCTGCCACCTTCACTTTGGTGGTGACAGGATTTGTCTTTCCCAATGTCCTGATGGCTTTGGTCTGGAGAGGGGGTGGAGTCCACAAAGCCTGTATGGGATTAGCTCAGAACATCCTTTCCTCCTAACACTTCCCCCCTTTCACTTTTTGCCTTTCCCCCTAACAGCTCCACGGTGTAGAGTACTAAACCAGCAGGACTGCTTAGTAGGGTGGGAGGAAGGAGGGAGCTCACAGGCAGATTCTCTAGAGAGTCACAACCTCTACTTAGCATCTGGGCAGCCTTGGGCAAGTTGACAAGTACCCCAGGGCACAATGTAAAACAGAAGAAATAAGCATTGTTGTGTGTACAAAGCATTTTTCCAGAGTGTAGTCAATAAATTTTGCATTATGTATTTAAAAATAAACAATAAAAAGGTTGAGACAGTGGGGTAGTCAAAAAGTCTAAAAGTTAAATGTGTAAATCACATACTACACTGAATTCCAAATGATTCAAAGATTTATAAATCTTTGAATAAAAGAGTACTAGAAAAAATAGTACTAGAATCATTCAAGTATTCCTTATCCTAGAATGGAGAAAGCTTTCTGACCATGATTGAAAATCCAGGCAAAAGCCATAAAAGAATAGGGTTTCCCTGGTGGTGCAGCGGTTGAGCGCTGGGTTGCCAAACTGCCCGCAGCCTCTGCAGCGCTGGTTTTGATGTAGAGCAACCCCGATACAAAACGGGGTGCCTGACTGTGGGTCCTCACCCGCGCGCTTAAAAGGACTTATCAATGCTCTACTGCAGGCACACACGAAAGGTTAATAAAAGGTTTATTTACGAGGGAAGGGAAAATGAGGAAATATACAGCTCAGGGAGAAAAGTGGGAGACAAAGTTTTAAATGAGTCCTACCCGATCTGCTGATCAGGAATCCCCAAAATGGCACTCTGAGAGCTGGCCGCCAGCCAGGAGCCGTGAAGCCAGGAGGCCAGCAATCGCGAGAGACCCCAAGGCCCACGTGTTTGGTTTTTATATCCAACCTGGCTGCCCAACTCCACCCTCAGGTCCCAGCCACCTTCCCTTTGGTGGTGATGGGATTTGTCTTCCCAATGTCTTGATGGCTTTAGTCTGGAGTGGGGGTGGGGTCCACAAAGCCTGTATGGGATTATCTCAGGACATCATTTCCCCCTAACAGTTTGATACCTGGCTGACAGGCAAGGGTCCCACATGGCTGCCCAGACCTCTCCTGCCACCCGCTGCTCCCCTCAGCAGTGTGCTTCATCAGTCTGCCTGTTCTGCTCCCCGCTCTGGCTCTGGTGAATTCTCTCACCCTCCCGCGCTTCTGACTACCAGTGCTTGTATAAATAAATAAATAAATAAATAAATAAATAAATAAATACTTAAAAAAAAAAAAGCCATAAAAGAATAGACTGATAGACTCAACTACATAAAAATAGAAAACTTTCATGTGACAAAAACAACACTTTAAACAAACTCAGAAGACAAATAACAAGTTGAGGATACGTGTAGTCACATCACAGGCAGGTGAAAAATTAATGTGAAAAAGACTAACAACACAATAGAAAAATAGGCAAAGGATAGGACCAAAAGATTTGTAGGAAAGGAAGTACAAATGGCTGAAGCATAATAAATTCATAATAGAAATATAGTTTATATGGAAAATAATAAAAGAAATTCTAAATGTAAAACTCACTGAGATGTCGATTCTAGTTTCCAGGTTAGAAAAGTCTACCTGTTTACTAGTGGCAAGGCCATCTTATGAGGTGCTATTTGGACAGGCTCTGAAGAATATCTGGGGGTAGAATGTTCCAGGCAGGCAGGAGAGCATGTGCAGAGGTCCTGAGGCCAGGGCGTGCTCTGAAGTTTCTAGGAACAGCTGGGAGGCTACAATGTACAGAGGTAGTAAATAGGGAAGGAGTAGCTGATGAGGTGAAGAAGTGTGGGGTTGGTGGTTAAGAACTGGGAAGGTTCTAAGAGTTTACTTCGCTTGTGAGCTCACCAGTTAGCCTGGCACACTTCCGTGGATGTTGGAACAGAGACAAAGGCATATAGTGAATAGCATGGGCTTCACATTGGTGTCTTTTCCACTTCACCCCAAGTGCACAGAGCAGCCCGGGTGGATGTTGTCCATATAAATAGTGGGTGTGCACCACA